TACAGATAAAACTGGAACATTAACATTAAATAAACTTTCTATTGATAAATCTAATATAAAGAAATATTCCGATGTAGAAATTGATGATATTATTCATTATGCAGCTATTGCATCACAAATGGAAAATCAAGATGCTATGTAAGTATTATGGCAATAATAAATAATAATTGATACTATTTATATTTTTAGTGATGCATGTATAATTGAAGCATGTGATGATATTAAGAAAATACGAGAAGATATCAAGGAATTAGAATTCAAATCGTACGTGAAGAGAATTTGTTTTTTTTGTAAAACATTTTTTTTAAAGATTTGATTCAATTGATAAACGAACTGAAATTACTTATAGAATGATAAATGATGGTAGTTTACATCGTATAAGTAAAAGTATGCCAAATGTTATTTTAGATTTATGTACTCGAGATAAAACAATTGAAAAGATACAACAATTAAATAATGATATTGATGAATTTGCTAAATGAGGTTTACGAGCATTACCTAATGCTATTGAAGATATATCAAGTGGACATTTTGGAGATGAAGGAAATGGTTTTAAATTAATTGGTCTCTTACCTATTTATGATTCACTATGTTTAGATACAAAAGAAGCAATTGAACAAGTTCTTAAATTAGGTAAAAATCAAATTTGTTATTTTATAAATTAAGATACATATTTCAATCTATTGAAATATTTAGGTGTAACAACTAAAATAATTACAACTGATGGACCGTCATTAGAATCAGCTTATCGAGATATTGATGATATAATTTTACATGCAGATGGTTTTGCTGGTGTTTATCCTGAACATAAATCTAAAATTATTGAAAGATTACAAAACTTAGAATATGGAGTTGCAATGATTGGTGATGGTGTTAACGATGCACCTGCATTATCAAAAGCTAATGTTGGTATTGCTGTTATTAATACATCATATGCAGCACGTTCAGCTGCTGATATAGTTTTAGTAGAACCTAGTTTATCAGTTATTAGTGAAGGTAAAATTTAACTTGTACTTTTTTTTCCAAAAACATTTTATTTTCTTAAAAAAGTTATTCTTGGATCACGATAAGTTTTTCAACGTATTAAAAGTTATATCATTTATACATGTTCAATAAAAATTCTTATATTAGTTGGATTTTCTATTCTTGTTTTCGCATTTAAATTCGATGTTCGATTATTTATGGTAGAAAATCAAAATTTTTCTTTTGATTAAATTTGATCGATCTTTCATTTAGGTGTTTATTCTTGCTGTACTTAATGATAGTGCACTAATAGCTATTTCAAACGATTGAGTTTATCCATCATCATATCCAGATAGGTGGAATTTAGCAGAAATTTTTATCTATGCTCTTATTTATGGAATATATTTAGCTGCATCAACAATTGTTTTCTTATATTCCAGGATAAAATTATTCAAAATTACATTCAATTATTTATTTACAAGTTTCAATTATAAGTCAAGCATTAATATTTATAATACGTTCATGAAGTTTCTTTTTTATTGAATGTCCATCGTTAATATTAGTTGGCGCTTTTATTCTTGCACAACTTATAGCAACATTTATTGCTGTTTATGTCAATTGGAATTTTACAAATATTGCAGGTTGTGGATGGAGTTGGGCAGGAATTGTTTGGGTATGGAATATTATTTGGTTTTTTCCACTTGATTTTCTTAAAGTAGATAAGAATCTTTTTTTGTGCAATTAATATTTTCTATTTAATATTAGTTTGGTCTTCGTGCTTATTTTGAACCTTTAAGTGAAAAACGAGCTATGACAGAAACCTTACTGAATAACTTCTCGACAAATCTACAAGAAACACATCGTTCCACCATGTCTAGTGGTGATGATGCAGCAGCAAGAATTGTAATTGATTCTAATGTATGTATTCATTCTTCACTTACATACATATCAATACTTTCTAATGTATTGATAAATCTTGTCTTTTAATTTATAGATTCACCATGCTCCAAAATGATTCAGTCAATCAAGTACTAATTCTATGCACAGTATTATAACTCCTCTGTAATAAACTACTAAAAATAATTGATAATTGTCATGAGATAGTATCAATTTGTTTCAATTAAATAAAACTCTCTTTTTTTATTTGAAGCTTCTTCATTACAGTAGTCATCATTGAGCCTGATACTACTAAACGGAGCTATGTTTAATTCCATTATTCATAAAAAGAAATTTATCAAAAATACATTGATATTCGTCGTCATTGAGTAGACGTATCGTAGTGTTCAATTCAACGATGAATTTTGTTTCACCGAACAAATATTTATCAATAGGTTTATTTGAATTTTTTGAGTTATAAATGATGTTAGTATTTGGCAATCGACTCCATACATTTCTTATCAGCTTTATCAAAAAATGATTCTATTGAGCATCTAAATTTCATTGCTTTAAAATACCAACACCACATCAATGATATAACCATCGTTTCACTTTTATAATAAATAGTTTTTTTCGTTCTAAATACTGAAAATATATGAAAAACCGCGTAGAATAAATTTTTCACAATGAAATCTTGATATTCAGTTTTAGAATGGAGTTGAGCGCGAGAATAAGGGTATGGATACGAATATCTTCTCTTCTTTCAATCTTACATCCACCTCCAAAATGGCAAGTCATATCACAACAATTTCATATCGTAAACATGTCACCTGTTTTACTGAATAAAGAAATAGAATGACACATATTCTTCGTTAGAAAACAATGTTGTAAAGTATCGAACAGAGATCATAAATAAATTGAGTAGTGATGTTATATTCGTCTATTATGCGCATTCACGCTACTGATTCACGATACATTCATAGTTATTAACAAGGGGGAAAATGCAAACTTTAAAGCATAAAGTACCGTAAAGTTCTGTAAAGTATCAAAGTAGTTTAAAGTACGGAGAAGTAACGCCAAGTATAGTGAAGTGTGTAAAAGTAAGTCAAAGTATGTCAAATTCCCTTGAAAGTACAGCAAAGTACTTCAAAGTATGTCAAAGTCCCTTGCAAAGTACAGCAAAGTACTTCAAAGTAACGTAAAGTACATTAGAGTTTCTCAAAGTAGCGTAAAGCACATTAAAGTTTCTCAAAGTTCGTGAAAGTAATGCAAAGTAGTTTGAAGTTCGTCAAAGTAGCAAAGTAGTCTGAAGTTTCTCAAAGTAGCATGAAGTAGTTTGAAGTTCGTCAAAGTAACGTAAAGTACATTAAAGTTGCTCAAAGTTCGTCAAAGTGAGGGGAAGTATTGTAACGCATTATGAAAGATCTGGAAATGGACGAAACAAAATTAAATTACGTTGGGAAAATATGAATGATTGCTTTATCTGTTTAGAAAAAGAAAAAAATCACTATCTAAAGACAAAAAACGGAAGTAATAGGTTTATTAATCAACATCAGCCGTTTGCTTCATGACACGAGCTAAACGATCATTAGATAGTTTCGTTAAATTGTTCGTTAGCAGCCAACAGGCTGGCTATTTGTGGAGATATTTAATGTTGTCATTTATTTTGATTTTGAAGTATGACTGCTTTAAAGCGGGATTAATATCGCCAACAATCCTTATTCCATTAAGGTCGAATTTTGTTGAATTCAATAAGTCTTCCTCATCACTACTATCGTTATTTTGAGGGTCAAATACAGTTCCATCATTAAGCTCAACTTGTGTATTATCTTTAATATTATCATCATCGTTCTCCTCATCCAATCGAAACTCTTCACCGATATCAACAGGTACTTCACTCTAAAAAAAATTGGGTATTTGCTACTATCGGAAACTCTAAATGAGTTTCCGATAGTAGCAAATACCCAATTTTTTTTAGAGTGTTGGGAAGAGTAATTAATCATTTTTGAATTTTTACTTAATACATCAAATATATATTTACTCAAACTGTCTAAACTGTTTATTCAATATTGATTTAATACATCTAACATTTTCTTCTTCTGTTTTAACTCATTTTAACTCGTGTGTGATTGTTTATGTTTTACCCAGCGGTGGCGCGAATCAGCCAACACTGAGGGGAGGGTATAACGAAATTTTTTGAATTCTTGGGGGCAGGAGGTGCAGCGAAATTTTCTGAATTTTTGGGAGGGATGTAGCATTATCTTTGGTAAAAAACCTAAGAAGATCTGCCGATTTTGCTGACTAAAAATAGAAATTTTCGACAGTTGGAGGGATATCACACCCCTGACATCCCCTCCCGCCGGTCGCGCCATCTCTGGTGTTACCTTTTATCTTTTTTTAAATAAATCATTAAAGTGCTTATGTAATACTATAATTTATGTAGCTTTTCTTTTTGCATATGTTGATTTTTTTAATATCATATTATTATTTAGCAAAAACAAAACGATCTATGATCATGATATCTAGAATATATATCTGCAGTTATATTAATAAACTGTGAAGTGGTTTGAAGTAACTGGAAGTTGCTTAAAGTAGTTCAAATTGGCTCGAAGTCCTACAAAGTAGCTTAAAGTAGGCTAAAGTAGTTAAAGTAAGTTGAAGTAGTGTAAAGTGATATAAAGTACGTTAAAGTAGACTAAAGTAGCGTAAAGTAGCGTAAAGTAGCATAAAGTAAACTAAAGTAGCGTAAAGTAGCATAAAGTAATTTTAAAGTAGCATAAAGTATTTTAAAAGTAGCGTAAAGTAACTTAAAGTAGTGCAAAGTAGCACAAAGTAGTGCAAAGTAGCATAAAGTGGCTCAAATTCACTTGAAGTGCAAAAGTTTGCATTTTCCCCCTTGGTTATTAATCATAAAAAAAGAAAAGATTTGCACTTTATTACTGATGACAAGTTTCAAATTGCAAAAGTAATTGATTTTCAACTAGATATGCAAAAAGATTAAAACAACAAAATGATTTATCGTTTTCATTTGTTGTATATTATCAGATAGAGGTAAGCGATGGTAACATTTTATTCATTTTTTTAATAGACTAGATTATATTAATTCATTTCTAAAAGAGAGACACTTATAGTAATCGATCATATAGAAGATAACTATGAGAGGACTCTCTCTTCATGTCGCATCCTATTCGAATGAATAACAAAAGCACAAGAGAACAGAAAAAAGAAAGAAAGAATGCGCACAACGAAAAACCAGATATGATGTGAAAGAATGTGTGAAGGCGTATGGAGATATGACTATAACAATGGGCATTCTTGATCGCAAAAGAGAAAGCTGTATTCTTATCTGTGTTAATGTTTCTTTTGCATTTTGTAACGAGTGATTCTAAATATCATCTAATAGCGTTACTAGCATTCTCTCAATAAGAGACTACTGTTACTTTTTTCTTGTTTTTGGAAACTTAAAGAGAAATTAAATTGAAACTTTAACTTATAGTTTACTACATTCTGAACAATGTTACTCAATCTAACAAGTAAGTCAACTATATGTCAAACATTTTATCGTTACTAATTCTTTTGGTGATTTCTAGAATAGATACTATCGTCATGCTTCTAACAGTACTCTTTCTTATTGATTCCACGTTGGTCAGATCATCACAACCCGATCCTCCTACAACACCACCACCTGTCAAACCTGATTCGTTGTCGCCTTTCTTGTTAAGTCATGAAGAAGCACATAGTTTTCTTTCAAATTCAAAATCTTCCAGTTGCTTATCTGTAGAACATGAAACAGAAAATATCTACATCTCAGAATATCAAGAAGAGAACAAAAGACAATGGAAAAGAACTTGTGCAAGGGATTAGCATTCAAGAACATCTGAGAAAATTATCAAAGTCATTAAAAATACTCTCATGAATATTGAGTGAACTTTCCCGACCTTTAAACTCTCGATTCGTCTACTCTTTGTCAATCAAGAATAACTCTATTGATTTCAATTTTATACTGTTTCATAGCCTGGAAAATAAATGATGTATATATTGATTCTGAATGTTCATTATAAATGAGTGTTCTAAGCGAAGTACTAATAATGACACTTGAGGATATAGATATTCTATATCATCCACCCCTATCCTCAGTTACACTTAGACTTTTACATCTATAATTGTAATAAGAAGAAATAGGTGTTGAATTGATAGAAAACTTTTCGCATAAGATATCAATTCGAAAATCCAATGATTGCGGAGCGAAAGACAGCACTAAAAATATTTGAATTTATTGTTGAAAAATTAATTTCGAAAAAAAACCTTTTACTGCTGAGCTGTATTTATATGCTCATGGATGAAATTGAAAACACTATAGATGTCTTGCGTGCATCTATATTCTTAAATACACTTGCAAGTAACTAAGGAAAAAACAACAAATATTTTTGCTTTCTTTTTCTATTTTTCACCATGTGACTATAACAGTATTTTGATATTGCATATGCATTTGCAGTCGTTGTGCAATTACGACTGATGAAATATTTGATATAATCTATGAAATGAAAATCGAACACGATAATTGCATATATTTATCTGAAATCATATTTTTTTGTATTACATTTACACAAGAAATACATTACAATTATTTATGGAAACAATCATATTATCTATTATAAATGAACTTAAATTAGATAATGATGAAATAAAAAATATTTACAATTATGGTTCATGGGTTTACGGTACAAATCATGAAAAATCAGATCGTGATTTTCTTATTATTATGAATATTAAAGACGAAAATCAACGAAAATCTTTAGAATTTGATGAAGATTTTGATTATTTTCATCGATTTGATTTACGTCGTCTTAATAATTGTGATGTAACAATTCATTCATGTGAAAATTTTGAATTATTATTAGAAAAAAATTATATGTTAGCAGTTGAATGTCTATTCTATCCAGATGAATTTATTCTAAGAAATAATATTAATTATAAAACAATTTATTTAACAAAATATTATAATCCATTAAGAATAAAACAAGTTATATTTTATGAAAATAATCATAGTTTTAAATATGTTATGGATGATGATGATGATGATGATGACGGAATTCATTCAAATTTTTCTCAATTAAATTCATATATTAATCCAACAATTGATCAATTTTTATGTAATGCTATTCAAACAACAACTATAGGTGAAGATCGATTACTTAAATATTGATTTCATGGTTTAAGATATTTAGATATTGATGAACAATTAATTCGAACAAAATCAATAGATAATTTTAAACGAATATCATATATAATATTTCAAATAAAAGATATTTATATTAATAATAATAATAATATGGATTTGGTTATTGATTATATGAAAATAAAAAGGAAATGAATATAAAACAATAATAGATAAACTTATACCAACAAATATTATTCATGATACATTTCAAATTCATATTACTATTAATAATAATAATAATAATAATAATAATAATAATACTAATATGGAAACATTTTTAAACTTTTGTAAAATAAATAAATATAAAAATATTTTTCTTCATTTAAATAATCAAAATCAATCAAAACAATTGATAATATCATTCTATCATACTGGAATTTATCCTGATATAATTGAACAAATTCAACTATTAATTAATACACAATTTAAGGATTTTAATATTCTTCGATTAAAAATAAAGTCATTAACATTAGATAATAATGGTATACCAGAAAATGATATAGACAAATTATTATTTTGGAATAAAAAATCAAGTTATTTTGAATTTCATTATAAAATATTAATTAAATCAACAAGAGAATTCTCCACGTGTCACAAATGTTGTCATATTTTATGTGAGTTGTATACTGACAATTGTTTCTTTTCTTTCTCTCGATGTTATTTATAAGTAAATATTCTTTTTTTCTCTCATTCATTCACATGAGTTACACAATTCTGATTTGTGAATGATGAAAATTTATTGTTGAGACTAACAATTAACTAGTATAAGAAGTTACAGAACAAGAGATTCTCTTACTGTTATTAATATTCGATATCATTTGGTAGAAATTAAATGTAATTGTCAATTAATAAACGCAGGGATTTTGACCAACAGGGTGCCTGTTGATATGAGGCGTAGATATAAATACTGGAATAAGAAGAAGACACCCACACTCTCAAGATGAATTCTACGATATTCAATTTCGATCGGATAACGTTTGAGTACTCATAAGAATATATAAATCTATTATTTAACATAAAAATATTATTTTATGAATATTTACTTGTGTGTTGTTCAATAAAATAAAGCTTTTTTTTTAATTTTTCTATTATGGTATTCTTTCTCTATTATATGCAAATATAACAAATATTAATTACACTTTTTGGATATTATTCATTAATTAAAAGAAAACATTGAAACTTCATATTAATTAATATATTTTAATAATTCTTGAAGAACAACACAATCTATCATCATGATGAATAAATATCTTAAATATGTATCAAATCATTCTTTGATATTCAATGAAAATTATTTGTATCTTTTTCTATATTAATGGAACAAAGACTTTTCTTTATTTGAATAATATCTTGAAGATAATAATTTGATAAATAAATCTTCTGGACGTGTTTTCATGAATGATTAAATTTATCAAAGATTTGATGATGTTCATTGAATAAAAGAACGTGATAATATGAAGTCCTGACAAAATGGATTATTTAGAAATTATATGTGACTGACGTCAATTATTGAAATTGATATTTTATTTTGATTTTAATCACGTCTAAAATATTAACACAATGTTTGATCAAAATTAGTCTTTTTTTTATCACGTCTTTTATCTAAAAGAGTAAAGATTTTTAAATGAAATTTATTGTTAAATAATTGAATTTAATAATGTTTTCGTTTCCAAAATGAAATTCAAAATAAAATCATATGAAGAATTGACACTTAAATCTAAATAATTATAATCAATATTATCAATGAAGAATCTTCTCTTGAAATATATCGTTGTTGTTTTTTCTCTAGATTAGGTTTGTTGACCATGAGAAGAGGAATAAGAGGAAAGAGAGATATATAAAGAATAAAGAAATGAAGAATTAATTTCACTTGTTTTTCTTGAACAAGAGTATCAGTCGTTTAGTCAATTACAAATATTTCACTTTTATTTATCGCGTTGATAAAGATAAAATAAAAAATGTTGTTTTATATGATGATGAACAAGAATTTCAACATGTTCCTCATGATTCTGTTGGTTATGATCAATCAAATATCAGGTAATCATTAGTATTTATAAATCATTTCTTTTTTTTTGTATTTAACGTAAAATGTTCGGAATTAGACTTAAGAGAATTGATTGATCTGTTCTTAGATATTCATAAAAACTATTAAATAAAGTTTATTGAGAAGAATCCATTCGATCAGTAAAATTTCATCAAGTAAAGGATTTTATTTATAGTTTATTAAGATACTTTCTCAGCTACACATCAATGAAAAACGTTGATTCTATTGAAATCACCTAGTGAAATATATCGATAGGAATCCAGCAGATGAAACTTGTTGGTGAGAATTCACAAGATAGAATGCATCTGATGGAGTCCCATTAATGAATTCTATCCTCCCAAACACAGTATATCCAGTCTCAAAGATCAAGATCATCAAGTACAGTCTCTTTTGTAAAATCTGTGCAATAAAACTCAATGGGTAGAGTCCGTAACTTACACATATATTGAGACGGTATTCGTGGCGGGCGGGTGGGTTTCGGTGTTGGTCTAGATCGATAAGAAACATCAACATCAACACCCACACCACTAACTGAACCCTTTGAAATTTATCCATTTATTTATATTAACATCGGAGAAATAGACATCAGCTATTATAATTATAACGTTTTCTTACGCAATCTTTCCATAAAATTCATTGATTTTCTTCGATTTGTGAACTAAAAATGTGACTTGAAATATTCTTTGAATGACATAGTTATAGAAAATGGATAAGAATATTTTTCAAAGATTCTTGTTATGTCCTGCATGTACAACAGATGCAGTTCATAAGAATTTTCCATATTATCTATATAGTTCTTCTTTCATATGTCGTTAGTCATACATCAGAGATTTTCCCCATCACATATATACATATATGATGGTTTTTGAGGGTGGGTGTGTGATGCAAATAATACCCTCACCCACACCCACAAGAAGTGAGAAAAACGAAAAACATATAATAGAATTTATGAATATATGATTTGATATTAAATTCAAAAAGTGAAATTTTATTCATAAACTTATTATAAAAATCTCTCAAAATATAAATTTTCATGATTGATTTCGAAGAGAATAATCAAATGTTATTCTCTTTAATTTTTCTGCTCGATGATTAATTGATTCGATTTAGATAAAGACGAAAATAGAGAATGTAAACAAAATATTCTATAAAGATTTGTTTTTCATTAGATAAAAATCAGTTTTTTCTAAAATATTAATTGTTTTAGATAATTCAGTTTTTTGTTTTTCGTAAATGAATTATTTTATTCTTTAAAATAATTTTTCTTATTTTAAATAAATAAAACATTTAACGAACAAGGTGTTCAAATAATTTTTAATACTCTCAACAAGAAAAAATGATATTCGCATTAAATGATTTGGATTTCGAAATTAAATTAAATCGTTTTGAAGAAAAACCATTAAAATTATTTCGACAAGATTTTTATTTGAAACTTTTTATTTTAGCACTTTCATTTAATCAACCAAAGTTTTGTCCAACAGCAGCTTGGAATCCTTTTGGAATTACTTTTGCTAATCAAACAACAATTGGACGAGATCCTTACGCCCTTTTTATCAATACGAATAACACAGTTTATACACTTAATCGAGACAAGAAAGAAATCTTAATGTGGATTAACAATAGTATCAATCCAAACAAAATTGTTTCTGTCGATTTCGTTTATTCATTTTCCATCTTCGTTACAAATAATGGTGATATTTATTATGATAATGGTGACGAGAATGGTCGAGTTGATAAATGGATATCAAATACAAATACTTTTGTTAATGTTATGAATGTTAATTCATCATGTATGAGTCTTTTTATCGATATTAATGATACTTTATATTGTTCAATGTATTTTCATGATAAAATTGTGAAAAGATATTTAAATGATAGTGAAATGATACCAATAACTGCAGCTGGAACAGGTATTCATGGTTCTGCTTCGAATCAATTTAATCATCCTTGGGGTATCTTCGTGGATTTAAACTTTGATTTATATGTGGCAGATTGTTACAATGATCGAATTCAATTATTTCAATCCGAAGAATCAAATGGAACAACAATAGTTGGAGAAGCATCATCAAATAACATTATTTCACTCAAACGTCCATCTGGAATTGTATTAGATGGTGATAAATATCTTTTTATTGTCGATTCCGACAATCATCGTATAATTCGATTAAGATCAAATGATATTCGATGTATAATTGGATGTGGTGGAGAAGGATCACAATCCCATCAATTATCAAAACCGCAAACTCTTAGTTTCGATAGTTATGGAAATATATTTATTACTGATATTTACAATGACCACATTCGAAAATTTGATTTCTTACCAAATTCTTGTGGTAAGTTAAAAAAATAATTGAATAAGGGAAAAAATGATTTAAAAATTCAATGAATTTTTCTTGTAGAAATAAATAAAAACAAATCTATTTTTCCATTGAAGTTCTATATTCACTTATTGAATTCAATGAAGATTTAAAAAGAATTTCGTTTGTTTATCTTTGAAATGTTAAAATAGAAATAGAAATTAATTATAATAGATTTTATTTCTATTTCTTCAAAGATATTTTTATTGATTTTTCATGAGATAAAAGATTTTGATTATTCGAATATTATTTGAGATTTAGATCAAATCGTTTTATTCTTTTGGAATATTTATTATTTTCTCATTAGAAATACTGAAGATTTTCGAATAATTTCTAAGAAGAAAAATATTTCTTTAATGATATCAGGAAAACAAATCGAAATAAGACTTTAAAAAACATCAACAACATTTGTGAGAGAATTCAATTGAAAAAAGATCAATTTTAATCTTCGAAATTAACTGCAGTAAATATCATTTCTATGTGACATTCGACAAGTATATGTGATTAGACCCTTTTGTTTAGTTATAACAGTATATTCGTATTGATCATGTCATTGACAAAAATCTCGTTGTGATAGAGAAAATTTAAAAAAGAGATTTTCTTGCCTAATGTTTTGTTTGAGGATGCGGGTGTGGGTGTGAATACGATATCAATATATAATATCTACACCCACACCCACTCTCAACATGGGAGATGTATTGAAAAGAAAAAGAATATTAAAATTTATTTAACGTTTTACAAATTTTAATTGATTTATTTTTATTAAATAGATAATTCATCCATTGTGCAATCTGTGTATTCGTCGGTATTAACAGAAAATCATCCAAGATATTCTCGTATTGATTTTGATCTTTCAAATTACTATTTTGAAGCTATACAAATGAATGTCAATGAAAGTCGTTATCATACTCTTAATATCAACAGCAGTATTGATACATATGTTTACATGTACACAGAGAATTTCTATCCATCCGATCCACATATAAATTTAATTCTGAAGAATGATAACAGTTTTGGTGAAGATCAGTTTGAGATCAGAACTGTTCTCCAGTCCACTACTGCAAATATATTGGTTGTAACAACTTTTGATCCAAATGTAACAGGAGCATTCTCAATTATTGTGTCTGGTATCAATAGTGTCACTTTCGAACGTCTATGTGAGTGTCTATAATAATCTTTATAAATATCAGAGCAGAGATGCAAAACATAGAAAATCTTCGTATACTCCATTTTCATTCTATATTCATCACAAATCGCGAAAAGTTCTCGATTAAATTAGATCGTTGTTTCAAAATAGAAGTCTCATATGATAAATATCTTTTTTTCACCGAAATACTCGAACGAAGATGATATTTGTGAGAAAAATAAAAGATCTTATGTAATAAGTAAAAGCTTAAGTGAATGGAGATATATATGTTTAATGTCATATTCGATGTTTAATATTGAGAAGAACGAAAAGAGTACTTTTTTCATGATTTTGATATTATGAAATATTTCACAGTTGACAAGATTAATTCTTTCAAAAACCAAAATGAGAATTCAACTGACTTGTATGGAAATAATCAAGAGATCATAAATAGAAGGGTGGGTGTGTAATGCAGATAATACCCTCACCCACACCACACACACCCACCCTCAAGATCTCAGCTTCAACATTTTCTTGACTCATTCCGTTAGAAATGTTAACACACCGATATTCATAGATTGTCTTGAAGTAAACAAAATCGAAAGAGTATAATCAACTTTCTTTGTAGAAATGGTTATGAAATAATCGTTAGAATTTCCTTTTGTTTTCTCGCTGAACGTATTAGGTAGATCTTTATCATCAAATCTTCACTCTGCGGATATATATTTGAAAGAGAAACGATCTTGAAAAATTATTTAAGTTCATCTAAATAAGTCATGAACAGAACACTGATCGATTTTCTTTTTTTTCCCGAATAGATACTTCATCAACTATCCAATCAGTGTATTCATCAGAACTAACAACGGATAATCAAATGTATTCTCGAAGATGTGACAAAAAAAACTATTATTATGAAACTATACAAATCAATGTGCTTACAGATGGATTATATATGATTATAAGTAACCGTAGTGAATATATATGCGAATATATCTACGAGCACAGTTTCGATCCATTTTATCCATCGATAAATTTAATCGACGAAAATAAGGAAGATTGCCCAAGTCGATTATCAGTCAATCTCCAGGTCAATGTTAAATACATATTAGTTGTGTCAACATTTATTAAAGAGGTGACAGGATCATTTACAGTCATTGTATCTGGACTAACAAACACCAGTTTCAAACGTATTAGTGAGTATTCAGACTTTTTCGTCATTATTAGCGTTATGTTTCCACATTGTTTTCTAAGATGAAAAGGGGACTGAAATTAATAGAAAACCCAATTATTTGCCATAAAGTGTCTTTGTATGATCTTCTAGTGGATTCCCCAGAAAAAACCCCTTAGACTATGTACGTCCTAGAAGGGTTGGACTACAAGTCTGCAATCTAAGACGAACAACGAGACTTAATTTCTATTCTACATTTTGAGATTGTTATAGAGATACTTCGAGGATTTAGGGAAGAATTTTTCAAAAGTTCTTTTTGTGATAATTCGACATTTGATACTATTAGTATGATGTAAATTCAAAAATCTATTGTAAAAATATTGATTTCAAAAAAAAGAAAATTTCATCCTTTATTTAGTTCATTGACCTGTTAAAGTTTTCTAATAAAACAAAGAATTTTTCAATAACTTTCAGCATCTCTGAAATATTGATTGCTTTGTTTTCATAGTTAACATATTCATATTGTAAAAACACATTTAAACAATAAGAATTCATTTTCTCATTATTCATCACTGAGCTAAATTTCTTTATTTCGTATCGAAAATTGACTGATATTTTCTCCAAAGTGAACAATGAATGATTTCTTAGAGATCTTTGATACACAAAAATCACATTGATTACGAAACTTTTCATCTTCTCATAATTTAACTGATCAAAGATTTTCTTTGATGAATATCTGATCATAATGATCGAAATATCAATGAAGTGTCTGAGTCTCTTTATCAAACGTCTTTCTACGTATCAACTAAAATAAGATTTTCAAAATATTCAAAGATAAAATAGTTATGTGACTTAAATCGATAAAAGTTCAAATCTTTATTTTATTTTTTAGTTGAAAATCATGATAAATGTATTATTGGTGGTGCATGTGGTAATCAAGTTAAGGTTATTGGTATAACTCTTGACGATATTTTACGTTATGAAATTAATCAAAGTATGACATTGAAGAATCAACCATTATTAATCAAAATAAGTATTGCTTTAACAATAATTATGTTTATTTTGGGTTTAATCAATAGTATTTTATCATTTTTAACATTTCAAAATGAAAATTTAAGAAAAGTTGGATGTGGAATATATCTTTTAGCATCTTCAATAACTTCTCTTTTAACAATTTCAATGTTTACAATTAATTTTTGGTTTATTCTTCTCACTCAAATCAATTTATCTGTTCATCGAGGTGGATGTATTTCTATTGAACCTCTCCTGAAACTTTTTCTTTATTTTGATACATGGCTTAATGCTTGTGTTGCTATTGAACGAGCAATTAATGTTTATCAAGGTGTTAACTTTAATAAAGAAAAGAGTCAACGTTTTGCTCGATGGATTATATTCATCTTACCATTTTGTATCTCAGCTACAATCATTCATGAACCTTTACATCGCAATATCTTCGAACATCAACTAGAAGACCAGATTATTGAAACAAAAGTGATAGTAGAAATGCATAAATGGTGCGTAGTTAATTATTCTCGTGTTATCCAAGATTACAATACAGCCATTCTTTTTATTCATCTAATTGGTCCATTTGTTGCAAATCTCTTTTCTGCTTTATTCATTATTTTTGGAACTGCTCAACAACGATCATCAGCTCAGACAAGTCAGAGTTACATGGAACATATTCGTGAACAATTCCGTGAACATAAACGATTATTGATTAGTCCATCGATTTTACTTATTTTATCAATGCCACGTTTAATAATTTCATTATTACCTGGATGTGTAAAGGTATCTGATAATCCTTGGTTATATCTTTGTGCTTATTTTATTTCATTTACTCCATCAATACTTGTCTTTATTATATTTGTCATTCCATCGGAATTGTACAGAAATACTCTAAAAGAAACATTGAAAAACTGGCAACGACGAATTTGTCAATGACATTTGTATCGTATTTTTAAATATTATATATCAAACTCTCATAACATTTACAAATTATATTATCAATATGGTTAAGCCGTGCAATCAAGGATTACACGTATAATCATTGTTTCGTATACGTTTTCGAACAGTTCATATGAAAAAAAACAATCTATTGACTCTCATATTGTTGAACTGCATAGAGAATAAAAAACAAATCTCTGATAATATAAATTTATTTGAAGTAAATTATACTTTTGAATCTTATTCACATGAGCTGTTTAATTCAAATTCGAATATAAATGGACATCGAACTGCACACTACTAATTCGAAAATAAATGGTGAAATTTAGGAATAGATTTAGTCTTACTCTAAGATATATATGATTCATATATGCGACCAAGGGGTAGGTGAAAGAAGGTGGCAAAGTGGGTGAAGAGAGGGAGGGGAGATTTATTTGAAAATTATTCTAAAACTAAATCTATTCCTAGAAATAGGCACTAGTTTTTCTTTTTTAATGCCCGTTTATATTCGAACTCGAATTAGGCAGCTACTCAGAAAGCAGCAAAATTAATTAAAAGTTTGTGAAAAACAAGTTCTATTATAACTACGTAACAAAATGTACATCTTTTTTTTTCTTATATATATTTTAATCGAAGCTTATAAAATAAAATGTTCGTCGATCTTGATACTTTATACAATACAATATTTATCTTATAAATTGCTTTTTGTTTTAAATGAATGTTTATAACTTGTAACTTAATCTGTAAGATTATATTAAACATAGAATAGGGATTGAAAAAGGAATCAAACTATTATATAAAAAGGTGTTGGTCATACGTAAAAAAAAACAAGCAAGTGAAGAGTTATACACAGGTATTATACTCTCACTCATGTAGTTACACGTAAAGAATTGAACAATTATTTTTCAATTAGTGTAGTTCCTTTCACTTTCTCTCGATGATGATGATTTTCAAAGCATTGTGCTCATTATTGTTTTTCAACGAGGCGACGTTTGAGTGTTTCTTTCCTAAATAATGTCGAAAGAATCGCAAACATCTTTTCGATAATAAAAGGACATTCCTGAAAATTTCTTTATGAAAACGATCCGAAATAATTCTAGTGAATTGTTTTAGTTTGAACCAATGAATTCGAATTTATCACCAACATCGATTAATCAACCAAGGTCATTATATGTTTATTTTGAATTATTAAAATAAATAATAAAATAAGAATTATTTATTTTAGATGGAAATATTTTCAACAAAGAAAATTAATGTGGATCACTATTTTGATTATCGTTATTGTTTTAATTATAATTATTCCAATAATTATTATTAAATCGAAAAAACCCGTCGTTGCAGATGTATCAACAACAGGTATCATCTTTTTTATAGATTCTTGAACAATGTTTATGATAAAATAATGTCTTGTTTATTTGTGAATATTTTATTAAAATATTTATACAAATTAAGGATGTGAATATGATGGTTTCATTGTTGATAAATACTCGCACCAACACCCACACCCGCGTGCGAGAGTACCAATTGATTAAAGAATAGAAATTTCTTCTTCGTCTATTCGCTTCTTCGATTCACAACATACAATCAGATGCCTGAATAATTGCTTTTCGTCTTTATCATTCTAGGTTTTCGCATAAATATTCCTTCTAATGCCAGATGAAAACAGAATGGGATCACTATAGCTGGAGGAAATTATGACGGAGATGCACTCAATCAACTCGAATCCCCTCGTGGTCTCTATGTGGATGATGAACAAAGTGTATATATCGCTGATACTTCGAATCAGCGTATTATGAAATGGAAGAACGATGCAGCGAGTGGCGAAGTAGTGGCTGGTGGAAATGAACAAGGAAAACGAACAGATCAGTTGAATCAACCAACAGATGTGATTGTCGATAAAGCGACAGACAGTTTTATCATCTGTGATCGTGAGAATCGACGGGTGATGAAATGGTCTCGTCGAAATAGTACAACAAGTGGAGAAATAATTATCGCGAATATTAAGTGTTGGGGATTGACAATGGACAATCAGAGATTTCTCTACGTCACTGATACCGACAAACATGAAGTAAGACGATTTAGAATGGGAGAGACTCAAGGAACATTAGTTGCGGGTGGAAATGGGTACGGTGTTCGTCTCAAGGGTGGGTGTGGGTGTGGGTGTGGGTGTGGGTGTGAGTGTGGGTGGGTGTGGGTGTGGGTGTAAGTGTGAGCGTCTTTTTGTTTTGCCACACCCACACCCACACCCTCACATCCACACTCACGCCCACATCCACACCCACATCCACACTCACATCCACACCCACACCCACACCCACATCCACACTCACACCCACACCCACACCCACACCCACACCCACACCCACACCCATCTGTTCATTATCTCGATGTAAC